ATAGATGGGTGCTATGGTGGCTGTCAGGAAAAGAGTGTCCCTGAAAGGACGGCCAACCTTATTGCACCCTTCAGCGTCCGGAGCTGGGCAACCATGTCCGAGAGACAGTGCTCCTGAAAATCCAAAACAGCAGAGTCTTTATAAAGCCAGCCAGCCTGAAAGCAGGGATGGGAGAGGGGCACAAAGAACCACCCTTCTTCCCAAAAGGAAGGAGGAAGAATCACCCCTGAATCCTGGAAGAAAGGAGACAGGAAAACCAGACACTCAACAGGAGCAACCTGTATGAGGATGGAACATAACCCTGAAAATTCTGTGACACAGAAAGTGACATATACACTGTCTAGAATCAATACTGAATCCAAATCTGGAAAATGAATGATTTGGCTCTTCTATTTTTGGTGATCTGAACATCAGTAACAGCAGATCAAAGCAAAATCAAAAGATCCAATGAATAAAAGACCACCAGAAGAAATGGCTCATTATTTCTATGCAGCTTTCAAGATTGCTGCTTCCTTCAACCTATGTCCTCTGTTGGGGAAAATTATGTTGAGAAAAGGAAGAGGGTGGACTGTCTCTCACCTGGTGGTTCTCATTTTCCAATGGTACCTTCTTCTTCTCAACAGTTTGATCTCTAGGAGAAGATAAAAGTGCTATTTAGTTCACTCATGAAATTTCTCAGTCTAAAATGGATTACCAATTGTAGATTTAGGTTTTAATGATCCTTCCAAATTAGAAATAGTGTGGGCTTCATTGAGTTTCTAAGGATGTCTTCCTGAACTCTGCTACTGAAGAGAAATTTCAGATGCCCCATCATAAGAGAGAGGGGGAGGGGAGGGAGACTAAAGACAATCACTAGTTGAGAAACTCAGGAGATGATAAGAAGGAATAAAAAACTGGGAGAACAAAGAGGCGAGGAGGGAAATCATTAAAAACCAAAAAAGGGGGGAAAAAGCATCCCTCTTTTCAAAACTCCCATTTTATTAGGAAAGGTCAGCTTCCTCTACTGTATAATACAGATACTACCTTAGGTATACTCAACTGTTTCTTAGCTTTGCTCAAGTACAGGTCTTCATCAATGAGTTCTTGTTCCTCTGGAACAGAGCATCTCCTGCAGTATAGAGAAGAAATCATCTTTTGGAAACAAAATGTGTCCTTCACTTTTACCCTTTCCTTTCCTCACAATTATGACAAGGCAGCTTAAAACCCTCTAACCTTAGAAAGCTCAGGTTCCACCCACATTACAAAACCTGTGTGCAGGTTAATGTGTAGTAATTCTTATTTCAAGGCATATGACCATCTAATTATTTTTGGCACACATATCACCTTTCTCCCAATACATTCAAAGTACTTGACAGCTATAAAATACATATTATGATGGACAGCACAAAGTATAACCTCTATTCTTACACAGTGAAGTTCAAGCACATGAGAGACTTGCTTGAGGTTTCATACAAAGAGAATATTGCTGAAATTAGAACCTAGGTCTTTTGCCTCTCACTTACTAAGAAATTCCCAAGATGCAGTATAGAAGAAGCATGAGAATCCCTAAACTTCGTGATAAAGTCTGAAGAAGAAAATGAAGGGCTATGATAGAAAGCAGCAATAAGGAACTAGGAGCTTACATCATAAAAATAATAGAACAGAGACTACCAAAGAGAAGAAAAAGGAGGATTCTGTAAATGAAAAGATATACATTTATTTGCTATATGTAAAGCATGAGGAAGAGAATTTTAGAGGAGTAAAAACTGAAGACAGTACTAGAAAAAGCATTCAGTGGTCAAAAGTCATCCTAGAAACAAATAAAAATTAATAATAATTGGAAACCCTATGCTATATCCATTTTATAAGGGGGCAAAGTATCTTGGGAAGCTATATCTCCTGGACTACGTGTAAACTGATAGGAGATACAAGATTAAAAAATGAGAGTTCTATGCACTCAGTCCCATATTCCAATCATAATCTCAGTTACTCTTCATGAAGAGGTGCTTAGGCACAGCTGGAAACTATGAAAGAATGCTTACTCATTATAGACCTATACTTCATTTCTTTGATTTCCTCCCTTTTAAACATTTTTTTTTCTTTCTAAAAGGCATACCATTTTTCTTTCCTTTTTTTCTTTTTAATTTTGAGAGGATGTTTATTAAAGCTGGGGACAGTGAAACAAGGGCGGGCTTAGGATAGAAGCAGCAACAGGAGAGAGCTTAGGTGGGGTTGTTTTGGCTCACTGGGAAGTCAGAAGAAAGGAGGCCTTGGAGACAGGATAAGGGGGTTAGCCTGGAATGATCTGTTGCTGCCCATTGCTCCCCTGGTTGCAAGTCTCATGAGGACCTTTAGAGTTTAGGAGATGCACACCTGAGAGGGAAGAAAGGTATGGGCGTGCTCCAGGGAGGGATAGCGCCTAGTGCCTTTTTTTCTATCAGAATTTATCCTGAGGGGGGAAAATTACATTACAGCCTAAATGAAGCAAACTGACTTATTATCATACATCTATGTGACTACTGAATCAAATAAAAAATATTTGTTAAACTGAAATGAATGTGCATGGATATGCCAGGCACTATGTAGATGTTAGATGCTACATGGAACATACAGTGTATTAAAAAGACAAACATGTAAACAAAGAGCACTGAATGTACGGTAGGTACTACAACAGATTCAGGTACAGGAGGCATATGAAGAAAACCATCATCTCGAGCTGAAATGTAAAGCCCTTGTTCTCAAATAGCTTACAATCTCTTGAAGAAAAACATCCCAAAAATACAAAATGAGCCTGGCTGGCATGGCTCAGTCATTGAGCATCAACCTATGATCCCAGAGATTGCAGTTCAATTCCCGGTCAGGGCACCTGCTTGGGTTGCGGGCTCGGTCCCCAGTGAGGGGCATGCAGGAGGCAGCCGATCAATGACTCTCTTATCATTGATGTTTCTCTCTCTCTCTCTCCTTCTCCCTTCCTTTCTCTGAAATCAATAAAGACATATTTAAAAAAATTCCAAAAAATACAAAATGATATGTGAACAAATGTCAAGAATTAAATACCACAGGAAGCCAGAGTAAAATCACTGTAAACTATTGTCAACAGGAGAAGTATCACACAAAATACTTAAGCATCCCAGATATATATGATTTGAATAGGCAAATGGAATGCATAAAGTCACTATAAGCAAGTGGAATGGCACTTTCAAGTCATGGAGGAGAGAAATAAGCATGGCATGTGTGGGGAATAGTGAAGCCACAGGTCTAACTAACGCATAGGGTTTGTGTTCGGATACAATGAAAAATAAGGCTGGATAGGTAAGGTGGGATCAGCTGGCACAGAGGCAGGAATGCCAGGCTGAAGAGTGTGGACTTGAGATGAAAAGTGTTTTAGAATATAGAAACAAATCAGGAGTTATCTCTGGCATATTGAGTCCTAAGCTTACCTGTATTTTGGATGAGAATTATAGTAACAAAACCATCTTGCAGGTAATGTAGATGGATCAACCTTGCCAGGAAGCTTCCTCCATTTAAGACATTCATCACACTGTACCCATGTCTGGTCAGGAATCTTCCTGAATGAAGGAAAACAGAAGTATAACTGTCTATATCCTAGCTCTGCACAGTGTCTTACATTAGAAAGGCACACCCTAAAAGTGAAACAACATAATTTTATATATGAAATGTGTTATAACTGTTATAGTCTAGGTGTCTAAAATATATATCTTGAACGTCACAGAAAAAAATGATAGAACTATGCCATATATGAATATGAAAAATAGTAACAAATATTAACATGGTGAGCTACCATTATTTATGGAGGTCAATATTATTTATCCTGGAATCTCTTGTTCTAAGCAAGCAAGAGGAAAATTTTAACTCCAAAATTAATTGATAGGAAAAATTTATATATATTTATAATATTACCAAGAAATAAAACCCACAGAATCATTTTATTTGGTTTTACCCAATCTTGTGACAAGTTAAAAATGGGGGAAGGGGAAGTGGGAACAGATTAACCAAAGAACTTATATGCATATATGCATAGTCCATGCAGTAGTGTGGAGAAGGCCTGGGGTGGGGTGGAAGCTGGGTGGAGGGGGGCAAAGAGGGTTGTGAAACGGGGTATATCTGTAATACCCTCAACAATACAAATAAATTTTTTAAAATGCATTTGTGGGAGTCACTGAAGAATCGTCACCAAAAACTCTCCATTTCCCTACAGACTTCCTACTCCTACTTTTTTCCTTTCAAAAACTGTCTTTGTTTATACTTTAATCAAAAATTTATTAGGTTGATATTCCCAAAGTTAATCTTAAAAAGTAATATAAATTTGATTAAATTTCATAACTAGAAATGGTGGCTCCAGTCCAACAATTGGGTTAAATTATTAAGATAAATTCTTCCAGAGTTCTACTCTTAATACACATACTCTCCTGTCCCCTTGCCCCCAGGAAACATATTCAGTCATCTTCACCTTAAAGTGAATTTGTTTCTCTGTGAAAGGAGGTGGTTCATATACAATAGAGACAGTCAGCACCTAAGGTGTGAAAGGAGTGGGAAGGGGGAAGGCTGGAGAAAAGACAGAAAGAGGATAGAGGGGCAGGTAGGACCAATTTGAAAAACACATAATTTAGCCTAGGGTGAGTTTTGTGTTATCCTTATATTGCTCTTATACTAGATATTTCAATAGAGTGATTTTTTTATGTCTTAGTTCAATATTTTTCTTATCTTTGTAAATAGTGTTTTCTAGTTATACTACCAGCTCATTATAGAAAAAACTTGAAATACAGAAAGATATAAAAAGAAAATAAAAGACACTCATAATTCCACCTCTCAAATACAATGTCCTCTTCTTGTTTTAAGTTTTGTTTTTAAAAGGAGAATTCATACAGATTTTTGGATATATAGCCTCCTATCTCCTAGCTCCAGGCTGCTCCAACCTTGCAAATTCTAAGCTCTGAGCTCAGGCCTGACCTCTTGTGTTTAGATATTTCCATACAGCCACTGTTCTATTTAGAGCCAGAGCAGCAAAAAGCAGTTTCAACAGTAGTGGGAGGGGAGAGGAAAGGTCATATTAGCTTTGGTTTTATGTGCACATGCACAGAAGAGTCTCTTGTAGAAGCATGTCAACATTACTCTCTTGGGGACAAGCATTAAAGACAGCAACTCCATGCCTAAGCTTACATGTGGACCATGGTAGATACTTCTATCCAGACAGACAGAAAAGGTTTTTAGCTTGTGCTTGCAATAAATAGGTAGTTGAAGGGGTTATACCACATTATCCTCGTTGCATCCTTCCAGAAGAGTGTCATGTTTAAGAACTTGTGTTTTGGAGCCCAAGGACCTATATTTGAACCTTAGATATACCATTTTCTACCTGTTTAATCTTGAGCAAGTTGCTTAAGTTCTCAGTGTATTAGTGTCTACGTTTGTAAAGAAGAAATAATATTATCTATCTCATAGGGTTGTTGTGATCAATAAATACACATAAATACAAGTGAAAATTTTAGACCAGTGCCTGGAATATAAGTAAGTACTCAATAAATAATCATTATTACAATTCTGCTTCCAGAAAGATTATGTCACACACACACACACACACACACACACACACACACACACACACACACTCCAGCAATATATGAATATTTGTTTCATTGCATTAATCATTGCTTATTTGAAAGACTGAAAATGGCATCTCATCTTAATTTTCATTTCTTTGAAAACCATGGAGGTTGGACATAGCAAGATATTTAGAATAAGATAGTGATATTTATATATCAATCAGGTTGCATTTGAAACAAAATTTTATATCATGTATTTTCATGATGATTCCCATTAAAAAAAGCCACAGGTGGCTGCCTACCTCAAAATGAACTTTTAATACTCTAATCCTTGTCTTGATGGTGGTTTAACTGACTGTGTATGTGTTGTTACACATTCTATCATCTTTATTATGCTCCTCTCCTGGCCTATGGAAGTATTTCATCCTGATCCATAGTTCAATAAATTCTACCTTTTTTTTCTGATATGCTGGGTTCTCTACTTCTGTTGTCAAATTCCTTGGTACAGTTCCAACAATGTTCACTAGGAATAAAGAGAAGGAAAGTTTGCTAACATTTCTGAATATCTACTATATGTCAGGCACTGTGCTAAAAATGTTATATTATCTAATTTATTATATTCAGAGAGGTGAAGTGACTTACTTACACAAGCTCATCTAACTATTAAGAAGTAGATTCAGATTTTCAGTCCTGGAGTATCTGATTTAAATCTCCATCATCTCCCACTATATCATACTGCCTATGGGGTAAACTGAACATACTAAACTCTTCATATTTATGATCCAAACCACACAAGTGTTAAACCAGAATGAAGAGGTCTGGCTAATGATAAAATTAGTACTGGTGACTTCCCAGTTTTTTGTTTTGTTTTGTTTTGTTTTTTAAATATATCTTTATTGATTTCAGAGAGAGGAAAGGAGAAGGAGAGAGAGATAGAAACATCAATGATGAGAGAGTCATTGATCGGCTGCAGCCCGCAACCCGGGCATGTGCCCTGACCGGGAATCGAACCCTGATCGCCTGGATCCTAGGTCGACACTTAACCACTGAGCCACGCCCGGCCGGGCAACTTCCCAGTTTTAGTTCATTAAACTTCCTTATGTGAAAAGCACCATCTTATTCTTGTTCCTTCCACTGCTCTACAGACATGAACCACAGTACTTTTATTTTTATTATTTTATTTTATTTTTTAAAATATATGATGGGGATTTTATTTCTTATTAATTTTTTTTTTAATCCTCACCGGAGGATATTTTTTCCATTGCTTTTCAGAGAGAGTGGAAGGGGGGGATAGAGAGAGAGAGTAACATTGATGTGAGAGAGACACATCGACTAGTTGCCTCCGGCACGTGCTCCAACTGGGGCTGGGGATTGAGCCTGTAACCGAGGTATGTGCCCTTGACTAGAATTGAACCTGGGACCCTTCAGTCCACAGGCTGATGCTCTAACCACTGAGAAAAACCAGCTAGGGCCCCCCAATACTTTTATATTCTATATTTACTACTCACGGTATTGTCCTGGCTATGGCTGAGGTTTCAAAATTCTCTTGGGAAGTCTTTTCCTTCCAATAAGCATTGAGCTTCTGTGCAAGGGCATTTATTGTCAACCTAAAAGAAGAAGCATGTCAATGTTGAGAATTTGTTGAATATCTTTGTGACCTATGAGATGCTCCCATCTAACAGAAGCCAACAATTTAGAATATTCAGCATAGGTTTGAACATCTACACTTACAGGAACTAGGATGGGAATTCACTACCTTGCAAATTACATGTCAAAATGACAGTTGGAATCCTGAATAGTCACTTTGACTGAAAGGTAAAATGGTTATAAGTCCTAAAAAGTACTGTGTTCTCCAAATTTTCAGGGATTTCAGATTCATGAGGGGTGGGGAATTGATATTAGAGAAATAACAGAGGACTAAATTTCAGAGCTAGGACAGACCCAAATATAATAACTTATTTGGTTGTCAGATGACTACAGGTAAACAATTCAGGACCAAGTTGAAAATCAAAGGATCATAGGCTGTATCCTACTTATTACAAGTCAATCAAATACTAACTTTAAAATGTCCATACAGTTCCTCTTCATGCAAATGATGCTCAGAGCAGTTATAGCACCAATGGACAACAAAGTCCCTTTTGATCTACTACATAGCTGTTAGTGGAAGTTATATCCCAGTTCTGGCCTTTGTTCTTTCTCCTTTTTTTTTTTTTTTTTTAATTTTATTATTGTTTAAAATATTACAGATGTCCCTTTTTCTCCCCAATGACCTGTTCCACCCCGTTCCTTCCCCCTCCCCAGTCCCTCTCCCCACCATTGTCCATGTCCGTGGGTGTTCTTTCTCCTTTATCTCTCTTCCCAAATTAACAACAGTAGACCCAGGGTCAAAAAACGTAATGTGTATAAGTCAAAATGGGAATTTTACTTTTAAAAACCACCACTTTCTAACGGCTAATTCCTATTTAATTCTATAACCCAGGATTACAACTTCATGTACAACTGTACACACCTGAAGTGCTACAGAATTAGTATGTTTAAAATCCCTTGACTCCCTGGATCGTTCCCCAAGGGTTTTATAGACTTCTTCTCTCCTTAAGAGGAATTTTTCCTTACCTCCACCTTATTCATATTAAATTAGATCCTGAATACACAGAGAATATTAAAGTAATCATATATGAGGTCTCCTTCCCGCCTCCAAACCCACCAATGTTCCTACCTCTATGTTTATATCCTTCCCTCAAGTAACAGATGAAGAACTCTTCCTTGTTTTCTCTTAAAATTCTACTTTAAATCTACTTTAAAAAGAAGTAAATTAGACAGGATTCTGGGACGATGGTGAAGTAGAAAGCACCAAGAATCTTACTCCCCACCTAGACAACAATTGCACTGGCAGAATCTGTATGGTGAAACTTTTTGGAACTCTGGGGTCTATTGGAGACTTGCAACTTCCAAGGGAAGGCTTAGATGGTAAATTGGCAAATTTCAGCTCTTAGCACCATAGTAGCTACCATCCCCTACCCCAGCCCAGTGACAGGCAGATGTGCACACATCCTAAGAGTAGCTTGCAGGACCCAGGGTGGAAAAAAATAACTCTGTCCTTCAAGTATCAGGACTCTGAGCTCTGATAGCTTTTTGCTGCTCCTGATCACAGGATCATGTAATCCCCATGGTAACCACAAAGAAAACAACTATAAAATATGCACAAAAGAAAATGAGAAGATTTAAACGTTTCACTAGGAAAACTCAACTAAACATAAAAGAAGATAGTAATGCAGGAAACAAGAGTCACAAAATCTGTAAAGCATATAGAAAACAAATAGCAAAATGATAGAAGTCCCTCCTTATTGTTGATGTCCCCCTTTTGTCCCCCCATTGCCCCCTCCACCTGGATCCTGCCCTGCCCAGGCCTTCCCCACCCTATTGTCTATATCTATGGGTAATGCATATATGCATATAAGTTCTTTGGTTAATCTCTTCCTGCCTTCCCTTCCCCCTTCCCTCTAAGATTTGTCAGTCTATTACATGTTTCCATGCCTCTAGTTCTATTTTATTCATCTGTTTATTTACAGGGAATCAACAGTAGAGGACACTAAATATCAAATCAGCAATTTGGAATATGAGGAAGCAAAAAATACCCAATCAGAAGAGCAAGAAGAAAAAAGAATCCAGAAATATGAAGATAATATAAGGAGTCTCTGGGACAACTTCAAGTGGCTCAACATTCACATTATAGGGATGCCAGAAGGAGAAGAGAGCAAGAAATTGAAAACCTATTTGAAAAAATAATTACAGAAAACTTCCCTTACCTGGTGAAATAAATAGACTTACAAGTCCAGGAAGCACAGAGAGTCCCAAACAAGAGGAACTCAAAGAGGTACACACCAAGACACATCATAATTAAAATGCCAAAGGTTAAAGACAAAGAGAGAATCTTAAAAGCAGCAAGAAAAAGCAGTTAGTTACCTACAAGGGAGCACCCATACGACTGTCAGCTGATTTCTCAACAGAAACTTTACAGACCAGAAGAGAGTGGCAAGAAATATTCAAAATGATGAAAAACCAGGACCTACAACCAAGATTACTCTACCCAGCAAAGCTGTCATTTAGAATTGAAGATCAGATAAAGAGCTTCACAGTTAAGAAAAAGCTAAAAGAGTTCATCACCACCAAACCAGTATTACGTGAAATGTTGAAGGGTCTTCTTTAAGAAGAAGCTAATGAACAAAAGAGACTAACAAACAAAATAGACCTAGAGACACTGAAGCATGCAACAGACTGTTGTATTTCAGAGGGAAGAGGGAAGGGGGGTGGGAGTGGAGGGGAAGGGATTAGCTAAAGAACTTATATGCGTATATGCATAACCCATAGACATAGACAATAATGGAGTGAAGGCCTGGGGAGGGCGTGGGAGTGGAGTGGAGTGGGTCAATGGGGGGAAAAATGGGACACCTGTAATACTTTAAAAAATAAAGATAAATTTAAAAAAATAGATTAAACCCCCAATCAAAAGACAGAGATTGGTAGAATGGGTAAAAACAAAACAAAATCATGATCCAAATATATGCTGTCTACAAGGAGACTAAATTTAGACAGAAACACACAAGTAGGTAGAAAGTGAAAAGATGAAAAAGGATATTCCTTATAAATAGTAACCTAAAGAGAGCAAGAATGGCTATGCTAATTAGACAAAATAAAGTAGTCCTCCCTCCTTATCTGCAGTTTTATTTTTTGCAGTTTTAGTTACCCCCGGTAAACTATGGCCCAAAAATATTAAATGAAAAATTCCAGAAATAAACAATTCATAAGTTCTAAATTGCGCACTCTTCTAAGTAGCAGGATGAAATCTTTCACTGTCCTGCTCCATCTCACCCAGGATGGGAATCATCCCTTTGTCTAGCATATTCATACCATATATAGAGTACAAGAAAATATTTTGAGACCACATCCACATAACTTTTATTATAGTATAGTTATAATTTTTCTATTTTATCATTGTTGTTAATCTCTTTCTGTGCCTAATTTATAATTAAACTTTACCAAAGGTATGTATGTATAGGAAAAAAGTAGTATATCTAGGGTTCAGTACTATCCATGGTTTTGGGCATGCACTGGGGGTCTTAGAACATATCCCTTGTGGATAAGGGGGGACCATTCTAGACTATAAGTCACAATTGCTAAAACATGGAAGCAACCCAAATGTCCATTAATGGTTGAATGGGAAAGCAAAATGTAGTATATACATACAGTGGAATATTATTTAGCCTTAAAAAGGGAAGGAAATTCTGATACATGCTATAACATGGATGAAGCTTGAGCACATTACGCTCAGTGAAATAAGCCAGTCACAAAAGGACAAATGTTGTATGATTTAACTTATGTGAGGTACTTAGATTAGTCAAAATCATACAGACAAAGTGGAGTGGTGGTTGCCAGGGGTTGGTGAGGGGTCATGGGGAATTATTGTTTAATGGGTATAGAGTTTCACTTTGCAAAATGAAAAGTTTTGGAGATGGATGGTGGTCATGGTCACTTAACAATATGAATGTACTCAATACCACTGAGCTGTACATTTAAGAATGGTTAAGATGGTTATTATATATATTTTGCCACAATAAAAAATGTGAAAAATGGAAGTAGATATGTGGTTGACAGAGGTTGAAGACAAAGAGAAATGTGGAATGACTGCTAATGAACAAAGGGTTTCTTTTGGGGGTTATGAAAGTGTTTTGGAGCTAGACAGTAGATGATGGTTGCACAATTTTGTGAATATACTAAAAACCACTGAATTGTACAGTTTAAATTGGTGACCTTAAGGTATGTGAGTTTTATCTCAATTAAAAATAAAAATAAACATCTGTTCTCACGTGCTCAGTTAAAATTTATTGAGATAAAATTTACATAAAGGAAAATTCATCTTTTTAAGTGTGTAGTTCTATCACTTTTGACAATTGTATGCAGTCATGTAACTACCACTTCAATTAAGGTATTGTTCTCATGTATTTTGAAACCCCATTTCTTCTGACAAAAACCATGGCCTTACTATTCTATGAATTTCCTTCCTTTTACTTCCCTAATCCTGGGATATGTGGTTTATATCTACTACTTCTTTATTCTCCTGTCTTAATCCTGTGCAATCTAGTTTCTTCCATTGTCACTCTATGAAAATGTTCCTTTTCCGAACCTCATTCTATCAATGATCTTACTTACTAAATTTGAGAATTTGAAGTGATCTTTGATTCTTCCTTCTCCTTTATTTCCCATACCCCATTATCAATATATCACCAAATTCTTTTGATCTTATTTCTCTTTTCTTTTTCTTTTTAAATATGCTTTTTGCCCGGCTTGGTATGGCTCAGAGGTTGATGGTCAACCTATGAACCAGGAGGTCATGGTTCAGATTCCCGGCCAGGGCACATGACCAGGTTGGGGACTCGATCCCCAGTAGGGGGTATGCAGGAGGCAGCTGATCAATGACTCTCATCATTCATGTTTCTATCTCTCTCTCCCTCTCCCTTACTCTTTCTGAGATCAATAAAGATATATTTTAAAAAATAAAGAATAAAACATATTAAAATATGCTTTTTATTGATTTCAGAGAGAGAGGAAG